AAAAAAAAAATTCAGCAGCCGCCTGAAAAAGGTGGGAAAAAATTTTCATCTAAACCCCAGAAAATAGGCACGTGGGTGGGTGGGCGGGGGGGAGGAGGGAAAACATTTTCTGTAGAAAATTTCGTCTTTCAAACAATCAAAAAAGTGGAAAATGGAAAATATTTTCCAAGTTCCATGGAAAATTTCGCAAATCAAACGGGGCCTTAATTCTCAAAAAGAAAAGTTGGCAAGTTACGAGTTTAACGACGCATTATTGACTTAATTCAAATTATTACACCTACCTAACAGTCATCCTATAATATCAAATTAAAAATAATTTTCCATGCCTATTAATGGATTAATTAAAACCAACATTCAGTTGAAGTCTGGCCTATTTTGACAAAGAAGATGAAAATCATTTGGGATTTCTGGAGAATTTATTTGAAAAATAACTAATCGAAGAATATGGGAAACTTTCTATATTTGCAATTTCATCATTTAGACAAGGAGGGTGACAATAGTATGTTAGAATCCAAATAAGAGAGCGATTAAAAATAAATAATAATTAATGTTTAACTGACTTTCATGGATAAACGTATTTTTTTTTTTTTGGAAGATATTCACCCAATCAATTATATTCTCCTATTTGATAGGGATCAGAATTAGATTTTAGTAAATTTTGATAAAAATTGATGGAACGTGTAATTGAAAAGTTGTAGATCATGTGAAATATATTTAATTAATATTAATTATTAATTTTAACTTAGATTTTAATCAGATTTTTTAATAATACCAAACAAAGACTGAGAATATTGCTAGCAAGAATTAAACTTGTTGTACGCTCGAGGATGTGATAAAATCTATATCATTGATTGTTTAAAATATTTTAAAAACCAACGTATAAATACTTTTTTCAATACCTTACAATAATGTCAAACTTGATATACATGTAACAGGATTGGGCTAGCAATGTTATAGTGTCCATTGTCCACAAGTTTGATGTCGTATGGGTCATTCTTGATTTGAAGTATATACTCCCTCCGTCCCATATAT